CCGCTCTCCCGCCGCTGTCCCGCCGCTGCTCTGAGGGTGCCTCCGCCTCCCTGCAGGGACCCCGCCGCCACTGAGGAGACTCCCACCGCCGGCACGGCCGAGGCACCGCCCGCGCACCCCATGACGGCCGACTCCTGGAGGAACCTCATCGAGCATATCGGTAAGGAGCCGTGCCCGCCGCGGGATGTCCGACCGCCTCTGCGCCCTCACACAACTTCGCCGCTTCTCCCGCTCCCGGCACCGACGGCGGCACAGCAGCCCCTAGAGGTGCCCCTCAGCCCAGCCGGACTGCACCTGCCGGCCCCCTGAACCCCCAAACCAAAGCTAAAGACAAGCAGTGCACTGATGGGGGGAGTCTAGGGCAGGGTAAGGGCTTGTGCTAAAGGACCCCAACCCCTTATCCTTGCTGTGAACCCCCCTCACCGTTGGTGTAAAACATCATTATTATAGTTTTTTTGAGGTCTTTAGGGGCATCAGGTTTGCACGTTGCCTGGCAGGGATTAATGCTATCCTGGAACAGCCTGACCCTTGTCTATAAATAATGGTTATTCTTGTGATTATGAAACAATTAATCATTAAGGCTACCCCAAACTTTCTACTAAAATATGATTTTGCATACTCCAAAAGTCCTAAGACTAAAGTATTTTGTCACCTATCCTAACATTAGTTGTGTGCACCAGGTTCTGCATCTCTTTACTGTAACATCCACTGGCGTAGCACTTTCAACACAGGAGTAAGTTATTTCATCCTTTGTGGTTTCTAAAAAGGCAAAGTTGAGGTTATCTGGGTGGCTATGGAGGAGAGGATTGTTAAGCTTTTGTTCTTATGGTATTTTATTTTTTAATCTTTATCTTTTCTGGGATGGGGGGAGGACCTCCACAGCTTGTTTCTTGGTTTCCCACATCAGAATTGTGGCATTCCTCTGAGGGATTTCATCAACAGCAAAGTTAAATCCCATCCTGAGGCAGGTTTCATGGTAGGAATAAAAAAGCTTTGTTTTTAAACACTCCTGCTCAGTTTCAGGAAATAGAATCAACATACTTGAATCTAGAGGGTGGGAATGTAGCACTTAGCATGGGAAAATCGAAGAGATAACTCTCACGAGCAGCAGTGCAAACCTCCCTGGCAGGAACAAGAAGGCTTATCAGGCTGTCTCTGTTGTTTGGTGTCAGGCTGTGGCATGCAAGGCTGATTCTTGGTACACCTGATTCCACTGGGACAGTGCTGGAGAAGGAGGCTGGTGTGAAACCAGCAGCCTGCCAGCATCTGTCAGACAAACCAGCTGAGTTTGGGGCCTCCTGGAGGAAAGTGGCGAACAATTTGCATGAGTGTTGCCAGATCTGTTACCTGCTTTTGGCTGTGTAGATACTAACCTACCAAGGGAGCTGTGTCAAAACACTGTCAGTTTACTCAGACTGTGCACCTCAGAGGTGAAATAAAAAATACCAAAACGAGCAGGAGTTCAGAGCAACCCAGTTGCTATATTCACACATATTTTTATGTACTGTATATCAGAGGGAAGCTGTGCAAAAGCTCTGCACACATCAGTGTAACTGCAAGTAGGTCTGTTGCACCTTTATAGAGGAGACTGGGTTTTGACAGTATGAGGTGTTATGTTTATCCCCACCAGAAATGATACATCAAATGGCTTGAGCTCACTCACTCCCTGCCCTCCCTTGTGCTTCTGAGACATTAGTGGACTCTTTGTCTGAAACTGGAGCAGAGAATTTCAGAGAAAACCTTTCTGGGCCTCCTGGGATTTTATATAGCTTTCAATGCAATAACGTTTACTTTAACAGCGCTGCTAACTCTCTAAGGCGAGGATTTCCACAATTAGTAACTAGTTTTTCAATTCCCCTCCCAGGTTTTAAGACAGCTGGGAAGAGAGACTGTGACTGCAAAATTAAATGGAATAAACAAAAAGGGAAATGTCTGTTATGTACTATAAAAATTATGTAAACATGCCTTAGGAAGAACAGTCTTAAACACTTAAGTCAACAGATAACACCAAAATCATGCTCTGACCACAGGGATAACTGTTAGGTCACGGTAGGGACAGTTGGGACATTAAGCAATGAAGGGAGCTTGTATAGGTCTCTGACTTTTTGTACTTGTTAACTTACTAAATGTAAACATTTACTAAATAATTACATAATCTGAGTCACATTCAACTATTGATCTCAGCTTTTTTTCTACACATTCAGTTAGTTCCCAAATGTATTGTTCTCCTTTCAACATGTCAAAACCTTGTTCCTTCACCTTGCATCTGTCAGCCCTCCTGTGCTGTGACAATCTTCTGTTCCATCTGGACAAGGCTTTAGCATAACTTCCCTACCTCTCTCTTACCTACATAATTTCTCTACCCATTCTAACCTCTTTACCAGCATTTGAGTAGACCCTTAGGACCCAGACAGCAGTGATATCTTTTATCCTTGCTAGCACAACCCTCATTTCTTCCTGTCCTTCTGCCTAAACAGCTAACTGTCTTTTGTCTTACTTCTGTACCACCTTTCTGCTTTCTCCCCATATTGCTGTCTGTGGTAGAGCTTCAGCTAGTCTCTCTTGCTGTCCTTTCCAATCGAGTTCTGGTGGTGGATGCTTTCCATCAGTCAGATCTTTCTATGTCTGTATTTGCTTTGCCTGCTGCTGACAGCTCCGTAGCTCTTACCTGGTCAGTCAGGGAACGTGAAAACAAAACCAGCTTTAATTATCTGGGTTTTCTTTCCTTAAAAGCAAGAGAGAAATAGTCTTGGGCATCTCTTAAAAAGGGCTGCTTTTCAGATCTGCACAAAGGGCCCTAAATACCCCTTACACAAAGCATCCTCTGACTTGCAAGGCAGAGCCAGCAGCACAACATGGCTGTGTACCTGCAGTCAAACACCGTAAGTATAATTATCTCCAATATGAGTAAAATTGATTACGCTTTAGTTTCCCAGCGTGTTTTCCCCTGAGCCAAACACTGCCTACGCTGCTGCAGGATGTTGCTTCCCAGCTTGTCCTGCTCTCTAAGGGGCGAAAAGAACCCAGAGCCCTCAAGCACAGGCTGACCATACAGATCAGTGCCACCAAAAGCAGCTCCAATTTAGCAGGCCCCCTGCTACATTCATGAAGGAGCCCTTCCACCCTGCTACATCCTCAGCATCCTCCCTGATGGTGAAAAGCAGCCTGAAATGCTTAGGAAAGCCATATAAACCTAGTTGACGCAGAGAGAAATTACATAAGTGGCAGCAGCATGCAAAACTTCAGGGGAAGTCTCCTCTGCTCAGTATCGTGTAGGAAGCTAACAGAAGACTATATGGTTTCCTAGGCACAGCTACCCTTACTGCTATTTTAATCCGGTGTTGAACATCTTTCCAGGAAGAACAGATAACAGGACACACTCGCAGACTGCAGTAATGCTGCGCTTGTTCCTGCGCCTTTCCCCAGCATATTTCCTATATGGTTTTAGCAGTGATTGGTACATACCCTCATTGAAACTGGTCCAGAGATTTAATAGGCAGCAAAATCTACGCTTCTGCCAGCCTTAAACAAACTTTTAATCCCATTGTCTCTCACCTTATTACACACAGAATCTCAGATCAAATATCATAAGTACATGTGACCAGATAAATTTTAACCCCTAATGGTTCAGACAAAATTATTTAGCATGTCTTTTTTAACATCAAAAGCTTTTCTTTTTATTCATTCATGTTACACTGCAATTCAAGTATAAACCAAGGGAGATAATGTAAATTGTGCTTCTTCAATTTCATTAAGGGAGGAAAGTGACTCAGTGTGCTCATGCTCTCCTGCCTTTACATGTCTTCTAAATTACATTTTATATTCAAGCAATTAAAATTCTGGGTCCTACAGATGGTTCAGAAAGAAAAATGGGACAGTTTGAAAGCCCTCGGAGAGACAAAGGATGTTCTAAAGATTGGCAATGAACTTCAAGATTCCTGCCTTTTTCATGCTGTCAATTGATATCGGAGTGGGGGCAAATCCTGTGCAATTTCCTCTACTCCTGAAGTTAGTAGTTGAAACTTGGTAGACACCTGGTGTCATTGATGTGCTGCCACATGGTGTGAACTCAGAGTTTGTTCTTTAGTGCTGTAGAGAATAGGTACTTCTGAATATTAATTTTGTATCTTCAAGCATCATAGAAACTGAGAAAGGAAACAGCAGGATATTAAGCAATGTGTCCAAGGCTAACCATGAAGTCCATACCAAAACAAACCTAGCAACTAAAAAAGTAGCCAGTTGTCCCAAAACTTCACCTGTCCAATGCCAGTAACAGCAGCTCAGTGTTTCCTCATTAAAGATTTTTGTGGCCGTCAAATAGCTCCTTTTAAAGTTATTTCAGTGTGTGCAGTATTACTCTTCCAGACACATGGTTAAACATATGTATCAACCTATATAGCTTGTAACGTAGTAATATAACAGAGAAAATCAAGGTTTAAAAGACATTTAAAGCCTGAAAAATCGCTTCTTTTATGTCCTCTGAATGATCATGGATTCATCTGACTGTGTTATTAAATGTTTTGTGAGAGCCGATTGTTAACAACACTTTAGATTTAGAAATGGCCTTCCATTTATAGTTTCCACTTCTGGCTGAAATAGGAATACCATAATTGGCTTTTCACTCTGCATGGAAGGGATATCTCTCACCTCTGCTGAGGTGAAGTAATGCAAGCTAATTGTCTTTTCCACAATACTTTTCTACTGTCTCATTCAGTTGTAAGCTCTCAGACCTGTTACGTTCCTTCCTAGGACTCTTGTACCAGGAATATCGAGATAAATCTACACGTGAGGAGATTGAAACCAGGCGATTGCAAGATTCACAGACAGACCCTGAGGAGACTTCACCCAGTGAGGAAACCCCATCTGAAGCAGAACCCACAAGTACAATTGAAAACAAAGCTCCACCACAAATCAATTTGCTGAGAAATTCCAACTCCAGGTTCAACTTATGGCAGGATCTTCCTGAGGTCCAGAACAGTGGTGTCCTCAGCATCCTCCAACCAGATGAGATCAAGCTGCAGGAGGTAATGGAGGAAGGCAGAATATTCCTTAACTGTGTTACCTGCTTAAAAAATGGACAGTGAATTAGGCCAAATGATCAAGATTTAAAAACTAAAATCTTCACAGCAGTCACAGACAAGTCTTGCCCTGTTGAGTACTTTCTGAGTTGCACTGGTTAGCACTCACTTTTTTTGTGAAACTGCAGACGTTGTTCTATATGCTATTGCTGCTGGATGTTTCTGTAGCAAAAGGAACTTATTTCCCTTTTCTGGTTCAGTTTTAGGACAAATTTACAAAGGAAGAGGGATATTTAAGAGATTTTTATGAAAGAGCTATTGGTTCCAGTGCACATTAATCCTTTTCTGAAGTTATTGTCAGGACACATAACTTTCCACCAGAAATCTTAGAAGAATTCAACCATTAACTGTAAGGTTTCGAATATGTTAACATTAATAGAAATAGAAGAGATGGAGATTGATAAATGTCCTGATATTTAATTGTTGTTACTTGGGGTCTATTGCAAGCAGTAAAAAATAATGACAGGTGTATTTGCATTTAGCCATGCAGTGCAGTGACATCAGTATTTTAGAGCCATGAGCTATGACTTACAGAACTGCATCAGACAGTGAAAGGGAGTGGGTGGGGGTAGCTCTCACAAGCGATGACAACATCAGTCACACCACAATTTACAACTGCTTGCTATTTTGGGTATCATGGAGAGTGTGAGTGCTCTTTGTCACTGCATAGCGCTGCATTCATAGCAAGCAGTGGGGAGGGCAAACCTTGTTTAGTGTGTGGTTTGCTTTGTGGTACAAGGAGGGGGCTTTCTAAAGCTCAATCCCACAAGTCTAACTGTACTCCTGTGCCAGGATTGCTTCTGATGAGGTGGTTGTGGCAGTGTATGTGCTTAGCCCTGGCTCACAGGATTGTACCCCAAGTGCTGAAGAACAACTTAGGGTGCAAGCAGTCCCTCCTAAATTCACTTAGACTTCCATAATCCACACTGATAACACCTTGTGCACACAGTGCCAGTCCTGGCTAGGGCTGTAACTTAACTGTCACCCTGGAAAGGGTCATCTTGTGCACCCCAAAGGTATGATGGGAAAGGCTGTGTTATTCACACAGGGGACTGGTGTTTCTATATAGTAGTTTGGGCTGGCAAGCACAGGCTGTTAGTGTATCAGGGTTAGGGCTGAAGGTGAATGAAATGATTTGTTGTTGTTTTTCCATGTTCTTCTGCACTGGTTATTTGGATTTGTTCTGCTTACCTGGCAAAACACAGTACTTCCAAGTGCCAGCATTATGAACACAATCTGGCATTTGAAAAAAATACAAGCTTTTATTTTTGCTTCAAAATGAAGAATCTTTTACGGAGAAATATTTTGCTTAAAATGTGTGTTACAGATTCCAAGCTTGTCATTTCTGATAAGTTGCATTCATTACCTATATGTGTTTTTGGGAAAAAAATCTCTGTGCTGCTAAAACCGAATATTAAGTGTTCCAAATTTTCTTCTCTCTGTTAAAGTAACCAGAGAAATAAAGCAGCTGGAGAATGGGACAGTGCTGTCATAAAAAAGTACTATGCCTTCTCCACTGTTAGTTTATCAAACCTGAAATTTTCTTCCTGCTTGTTCTGGGATTAGCACAGTAAGAGATTATAAAATTGCTCAAAGCCAGAAAGCTGTGAAATTGGCTGAACATGAACAGATAGAGTGGAGAATTTGCTTTGTGAGGAGAATCAAGGTCAGAAAACAAGGAGGCCTAGAGAAATCACTGAAGCTATTGAAAAGATGATGCTGAATTCAGCCTTGCTATAAGCAAGCACTACTTGATCCTACAGTTCTGGAACTCTACTCATGTTGGATGTGAACTGTGAGAGTGAGCTGTACATGAGGGCTTAATTTAGAGAATGTAAAATGTTCAGCTTCATAAAGGGGAATTGGAGAAGTTTTCCTGAAGTACAGAAATTCTGGAGTAAACATCTTAAGGACAAAATTGTATTTTCTGACCCATTTTATCTTCAAAGCTGTAGTAACCATAGGGAGCAGAAAAGCTTGCATATCTTCAGCCAGGGAAGGTGGAGCAAGAGTATTATTTGGTACACAAATGGAAAGAAAGTTGAAGTTAGCACCCTGCTTCATAGCTGAGGAGGGGAACACCACCGTAATAGAGCAGGGCTTAAACAGTCAGAGAAAAAGTTGGTTATCTGAAATAATCTTCAAAGGAAAAGAGACTAGAACAAGGAGAGAAATCTGGTGTTCATTAGTGGCAATGATGGAATATTACTGAGCAGCTAATCAATGCAAGATTAATAAAAAAAACAACAAACAGGATTTTCACATGTCAAAACAAGAAACTTGACTGGGAGAGCAGTGGATGCTTGAGAAGTGTCATGGAAAGTGATTTTTTATTGTCCCCACTGGAACAAGCAAGCCAGATATTTTCCCTATTGATTTCATTATTTCTTTAGTATAGCCTCCATTCTGGACCTGCCCTTGCAGGTCTGGCACCCTCCACTATGGCAAGCAGCCAAACATGCACAAATTCTACAGTCAGACTTGGCAGAAAAAAATTCCTGACTTGGAGTCTCTGGAAAGCTGCAGTGCAAAATGATTGGAGGTGTCAATCTCCAGGATACCTGGAAGGGACAGGCTATTCCAACACATCCTTTATATCTTTTCCTATTTCCACTTCTCTAATTTATCAAATAAAAAGGTCCAGTTAAAGCTGTTAAAGTTACATTTAGGACTGAGCCAGTAATGCAGAAAGAGACATTCTCTCACAGGTTCACCCAGTGCCTGGGTAAAGCTTCTGGGAAAGGCTGAGCTGATACTCCTCTATTTTTCTCATTAGGAATCTGGCCTTGAAAAAAGATCCAGCATCCTCTTATTCCTTAAACACTATCTGTTCCACAGTCACTGACTAAGTTCATCTGTATTGACACCCTTTGCTCCATCTTCCTTCTGGGGGCTGTGCAGGCACAACCTCCTCCTCTGGTTCAGGAAACCACTGTTGGACTTAAGTGCCCACTGGGAACATTTCCTAGGCTGCCAACCCTGCAAAGAGCTGAAATGTCACTTCTACTGCTATTTCGGCAGCTCTGGACTGAGTAACAGTCCCTCCTTGCTGTACCCATTCACACAGATCTTGGGCTGCTGCACAGTGTCAGGGACACAACCCAGGTCTCTACTCTTGAGTTCTTATGTGATGCACAGTGATATTTCCAGAAAAAGGCCAAAAACTGATCAGTGGAAAATTCCAAATAATTTCTTTAAAGAGAAAAAACAGACAACAACCAAGCCACAAGACAGACCCCCAGCTAATTTAGAATATATTTTTCTATGTACACATCACAAAAAACACTGCATGTACCTGTGGCTCAATCAGACCTCCTCAGCTTTAGCTGGGCCCCAGCAGCTGCTGAGAGCCAGCAGAGCTCAGGGACTGGCACCCACACTGCCAGCTCCCCGGACCTCAGCAGGGTGCAACAGAGGAGCTGTGAGCGCAAGGAAGCAGCTTTAAATTCAAGGGAACAAAACTTTACTGAACTACCAACTATCTCTCAGTAATGGCAGCATGGGCCAAGGAACCCAAGATACCCCTTTATCAAGAGATGCCTGAAGGATCTAACAGCTTTTCATTGGGTTGAAGCTCTTGTGAGAATCTTCAGTTAATCTTACTTCAACTAATGGATTCAGTAGTTGTGTAAATAAATACCCTTTGTAACTACCTCTGAACAGAGACAACATCTACTCGCGCAGAGAGTAAGGGATCTCTGAGTGGTAATAGTGGAATGTCCCTGCAGCAGTTGCAGTAGGTAGAAGATTTTATATCTACATCTCATTAAACTGATTTTTATCTCTGAACCAAACCATCAATTTGTCTTTCTGCTTCCACAGACCACATCCTTGGCCTGAGGAAGCCAGACTTTGCTTTAGAGATTTCTCTTCTAACAGGATAAGCAAAGACCGAAATTTGGAGATTATTTATTATTTCTGGTATTATTTCTGGTAGTAGTTAGGGACTACCGTGTCTTGTCTTGGTCCCTTGTGAGCTAGGGCAGAAAAGTGTATGGCCAGGGCTGATCAGGGAGTCTCACTTGGACAGTGACAGCTGTATTTCCTCTAGGTCAGGGCTGATGGTTGTGGGAGGAAAACTTCCCCACTGAACTCACTGTCTCCTGTAACATGTGGCATATGCATTGTGGGCTTACTTCTCCATGCAACCTGGGCCTGCAGGGTGGGTGCAAGGTCAGTGGCTGAGCAGCACAGACTTAATGCCCAGTGTGCCTCTCTGTAGAAGGTAACTGTTGACTTCCTTCTTTGGGATTTTCCCCCAGGCCATGTTTGAGCTGGTTACTTCTGAAGCGTCGTATTACAAGAGTCTGAATCTGCTGGTGTCTCACTTCATGGAGAATGAACGTCTGAAAAAGATCTTGCACCAGTCTGAGGCACACATCCTCTTTTCCAATGTGCTGGATGTCATGGCTGTCAGTGAGCGGTAAGTTGGCTGCTGGATGGCACTGAAAACAGTAGCTTTAGGTAACTGCAGTTGTAGAGGGATGGATGAGCTGACTTCTCCTGGGCATTGCCTGGGACAGATGGGTCACAATTAATATGGGTGCTGACTTTCTCATTTAGCTTCCTGTTAGACCTTGAGCAGCGTGTGGAAGAGAACATTGTGATCTCGGACGTGTGTGATATTGTCTACCAGCACACAGTTAATCACTTCTCTGTGTACATCACCTACGTCTCCAACCAGACCTATCAGGAGAGAGCCTACAAGCAGCTTCTGTGAGTTCTAGTGCTTGTTGCTGGACTATTCTGCAAAATTGTACAAGCCACAGATTTATGTGTAATTTTGGTATTTATGAGAAAGGGCTAGGTAGCACAGAAACAGGGTTTCCCACTCCGTAATTTCTCACTGCATCTATAAAAATAAAATTAAGGTTTTATTGTAAGGATGGGTTGATGCAGGTAACATGGCAAGTTAATTCAAAGCCAGCATTTCTCAACTGTAGGAAATATTTATGGTGCATGCAGGGGCATGTGCTTGTGCAATGCACATATTTTTAAACTGCAAGTAGAGGCAAGAGATGCAAGGCCAAGAATATAATATAGATGTCTGGTGAGAAGAATAGCCACTGCTTTTCCCAGCCTTCTCAGCAAGGCATTTGACTTTCCTCAGTTTCATAACTATTCTTTTTCAGAACAACAGGATTTTCTTAAAAGGATTAAAAAATAAAAAAGCTATTTTTCTTCACATTCAAGTGTTAAACACACAAACCTAGGCCTAAGGATATAATCCAAGATATTTTTGTAGTATTTTTCAAGTGTAGCAAGTCTTCTGGTCCAGTAGGAATTTTCTGATACCAGTTCAAAACAACGAGTGCCCTACAAGCTCGTCTTTGAGAGGAGGAAAATCAATTTTTCTCTAGTTACAATGTCCTGGATTCTTTCAGGACAGCCCATTGCACATGCTGCAGTGTATTTTCTCCTGTAGCATCAGCTAGTTCAGGCGAGTGTAACAATGTTTAATCCTTTCATTTCTCCGCTCTCTAACTTTTGAGGAAAATAACCCGAACATGTAAGGGACCTTTATTGAGCTTGGCCTGCTGTTCTCTCCAAAAAGAGGGTACCACAGGGTTTCCTTCAGTCAGAGTTATGCAATGCAGTTGCAGAAAGAGTTTGTCTACAGCCATTATCTTATCACTTAGAAGCAAAGCAACAACGGGTTGGATTGCTTGAGCTTGAAAGGGACCTGTTGGAGATGAGGTATTCCTAAATGCAAATTCAGAGGGCAGCATTTTTGTCTGAAGGAATACATAAAGCAAATTGAAAAGAACAGACTCCCTTCCCCAGGCTCCCAGCTAGCACAGGAATTTTGCAACACTTGACTGAACTCAAAGCCCTGAGGTGTGTCACAGTTTTCCCCCTTTGGCTGTTCTATTGCAGTTCCATTCTGCTGTGAGTCACACTGTCACACAGGTATCTGCTGCAGCAGGGAAGAGCACTGCCGATGGCTTCTTTCGAATGTTGTAATCTGTTACCGTGTAACACACAGTACAGACAGGTTTTGCACTGTTAGCAACCTCTTTGCATCCATACTGTTTCCTCTAGCCAGGACTCCAGCAGCACAAGCCTTGCTCAGGTTTGCTCAGTCCTTGGCTGCCGGGAAGCTTTGCCTGTTTGTGGCAACCGGGACTGCTCTGCTCTGCACAGCTGTCTCTGTGGCCCAGCTGTGCCCTTATCTCCTGCAAACATCGTTAGGGAAGGCCCAGGAATAGCCCTTGCCCTTCTCAGGCCAGATAATGATTTCCATCTTCTAGCTAAGCAGCAAGGAATATTCAAGCTTGAGCTGCTTTGTGGCTTGTCTTGCTCTTATGACTGTGAATTTCACCTTATTACAGCATTCCAACTGTGTAAAAATATATAATTATGCCTCTGACTCATTTACTTGGACACACACCCCATTCACATACACCTACACACGCAGTGTATGCTGCTAAGATAGATATGAACACATGTGAGCACTGCCGTGGCTTGTACATTAGAAGTCTATTTTTTCCCTCCCCCAGCACTATAAATAGTTCTAGATTTAAACTAAAATACACCCAGAGGCATTCAGTCCCCTCCTTCCCTCTTGTCTCCTATTGGGAGAGGCCAGGCAGATGCTGACTCTAGGACCAAGCTGCTTTTGGGTCACCAACTATATACCAGAGTCCCAGGCAGGGTAGCACTCAAAGCTCTCAGCCTCTCTGTCTCTCCTCTCAGCCAGGACAAACCAGCCTTTCGGGAAGTGATCTCACAGCTGGAGCTGGATCCCAAGTGCAAAGGCTTGTCCTTTTCTTCTTTCCTGATTCTGCCATTTCAAAGGATCACTCGACTCAAGCTGCTGGTGCAGGTAGAGTTTTGCTTTTCTCTCTCCCACAAATGACTTTTGGATCACTCCTGGAATTTTCCTTTCCAGCAGCTGTAAAGGGGCTTAGATACAGCTACGATCAAACCTAGAACTGGATGAAGCCTTTCCACAGTCAGACACTCTCCACAACTATGGAAAAAGGATTTCAGTCAGAGTCCATCCCCGAATTAATGTTGAATTTGCCAGATTGCATTTACAGAGTGAAAGAGTTGAGAAGGAGCTTTGTTGAGCTGCCAGAAGGTGTAGCAACAGTCCATTAACTCAGCTGCCTGACAGTTAGGATGGTGACACACACACATACGCAGAACAGCTGGATGACATAGGGATGCTGCACCATGGTGGATTGGACCAGTCAGCCATTTTCCTCCTGTGCTTTGCCATCTTACCTAAACACTGCTGGAGAACATGCTTCCAGGGATGAGGAAACAGCTCACTTCCAAACGGTCTTATCCCATTGGGATTACAAATAGCACTGTCTATTAGTGCCAGCTCTAGTTATTTATTAATTTATTTTTATAAAATAAGAATCTACCTGTTGTATTTCTCTTAGATATAAGGTCAGATGGGAACAGGTCTTAATGAGAAACAGGAACTAAGAGGTGAGAGTCACTGTATTGTGTCACCTTTGCTGTAGTTAGGCTGATGGCCAGAAATAATCTGTAGGTTAGCAAAAACCTTTCTGTGCTCTCACATTGGGATCAGCATTAACACAGCATTTTCTCTCATGCAGAATATTTTGAAGAAAGTGGAAGAGAAATCTGACAGAGAATCCACTGCCCTGGATGCACATAAAGAACTGGAAACAGTAAGTTTGAATCAGTTAATGGAACACTGTTAAGATTAAACCACCGTGCTCATTTCACACACACATATCCCCCTGAAAAAATCACCTGTAGACTACATTCTATCCCGGAGCTGTTTCTTTGAATCCTGACACTGTGTTTCAAGAAGGTTTTTTTCCCTGAAGTCTGAAAGATGGACTAGTCTACATGCACTTAGATGTCAGTGACAACAAATCCCTTGCTAACAATAGATGTAGGTTTCTGCTATATGAAAAGTCAGAGAATGTTTTCCTTTAGAGTCTCCAAGAACAAAAAATGTTTTTGCAAACACCTGAAGGTGATGGATCGCACTGAGAGGTGTGATTAGGTGCAGAGTACAACTGTGTCAGGTTTCCTCTTACACAGCACACCTCTTCCTCTGACCTAGAATAACAGCTGCCTGATGAAGTACGCAAGCCAGCTTTTAGCCCTGTTCCCTGAAGCTGGTAGGTAGGTGCGGTGTTCAGTTGTGCTAGATACTGATGTGTACAAAACCCCAGGAAGGCAGTGGGATGCTTCCCATCTGGACTGTTCCTGATATGGTTAGACAGGATAATACTGTGTCTGAATGGTCTAGACATAGCTGGCAGCTACATGGGCTGGGACTGTGTTTCAACCCTCCTCCATCAGAAGCCTGGAACATCTCCTAACTCCTGAAGTTCAACACAAGTATTTGAAATTGAAAACTGTGCTAGAACATCAGCCTGAGAATGGGCCTGCAGTTTCTGACTGGAACACTAGAACAGAACAGGCTCTCGGATTTACCCTGAACCAGCCTAGGAAGTGTATGCTTGGAGATCACTAGGGATAAAGACAGGGACTTTATCAATGAAGAATGTTCTGCGTGGAGTTAGTATTTGCGTAATCCCTCTTGACACATAAGGTAGCCAATTATTTTTCCATTGGTCAATAGTGTGAGGAAGGCTGTTCCTGTAGCATGCAGATGACTGTAGCTGCTGATGGAAAAATGCTGGGTTTGTATTCAGTTATCAGTGACTCAGGTGATCAGTTTACTAATTCTGTTGCATGGTTAAACACTTACTTGTAAGTGTTTAAGCTTAGATACCTAATATCCAGCTAGGTACAGGAATCACAACAGAAGCCTTACTTTTCTGTAAGCTTACTTCTGTATGCTTACTTTTGCTATAGGCTTATTTTCTCTCTATTTGAGAGGCAAGAGCTGATCACAGGTTCAGTTACTGATGTTCTGGTAGATTTTTGAGTAGCAGAAACAGAGCACAAAGTGGAACTTGCTCTCCAATGTAATTTTTCTACCTAGCCAGTTCTCAGGAGAGTTGCTCCTTATGAAACAGGCAGTGGCATCTAGGTTAAGGTCCCTGTAAGAGCGTAGTGCTTGCACGTTGGTTGTGGTTTTTCAGTTAAAAGTTTGTACTCAGAACACAGCTGGGCTCTGTGTGATGAACGGCTCTTTCCCTAGGACATTTCATAGCCCTGGCATCTAGTGCTGCTTGGCAGAACTACAGCATTTGCATTTTTGAAAAGAAGTTTGGCTTCATTTTCCCCTTGAAGATGATACTGCACATATACCTCATTTCAAATATTGGGAACTTGGGAAATGAGATATATGGTGTGCCAGGATCTGGAAAACAAGCAGTTCCTTTTGCTGTGCAGCCAGAAGTACTGTTTAATACTGTCTGGTTCAGTAACACAATGTAGCCACGTCCTCTGTCAGTCAGCTTCCACCTGTAACACCTTCTGGGTGTTCGAGAGCTTTTTGGTTGTTCAGGTTTTGGGTTTTTTCCTCCCCTTCTCTTTTTATTCACCCACAGTGTTGATAGAAGAACTTGGCTTTGTCAATTCCTGTTTGCAGCAGAGCACTTATCTGATCACGGTCAGGCCTTTTCATGCTGCTCATCATCACCTACCTGCTTAAGGCCAGCAGGGACAATCCTTTGTGCTCTCTTTTCCCAGGTGGTGAAAGCATGCAATGAAGGTGTCCGGAAGATGAGCCGAACAGAGCAGATGATCAGCATCCAGAAGAAACTAGAATTCAAGATCAAGGTATAAGCACAGGCTGGACAGTTTTGGTTCACTGTCTGCACATTGCAGACAGCCAACAAAAAGGCCCCTCTGAAGGGGCTGCTGCACACAGCCCCTCTGTGTGTGCTCAGTGTACACCTGCTGCAGAGGCTGGGGCAGCACCAAGGCCGGTGTGGTGTGCACATACACAGGTGGGACATGCTGGCATCAGCTCTCCTGTGCACTGTGCTCCTGCTCCAGCACTCAGGTCTGGCTCTTCCCTCTTACTTCTTTTTGAAACACAGGTCAGCTTTCAGCTGTTATTTTGCATACAAAATATGTTAAAGGTAGATGAAAAAAAGCAAAGCACTTTAAAACTGAAAAATACCCAAACAAAGATTGTCCCACCATTTTAATTCTTTCCTGTACTTATGCATTGTGTATGGTCTCTAAATACCTGCTGCTGATCTGCTTCAGCTCCATTGAGGGAATTACTAAATCAATATTTAGGGTGTCTGATCAGATCTCAGGGGTATCTGATCAGATATCAGTTGATATATACCATGAAATTCCAGTGCTGAGTATAAAGTTGTCAGTTCTTTTCTTGAATGCTATAGAGAGGCTTCTCAGGTCTGTCTGCCTCACAACCTTTAAGGATCATATTTAGCTTCCAATAAATCTTTTTATGTCCCTGAACAACCAGAACAAAAAAAATGTATTTTTATAGAGCACTTTAGCAGTGTGTAAAGTGCTCAGGGCTAGACTGCAGTCCAGGACAGTAGTAGATTAGGGAAGCTACACAGTTGCCTTCACTTCCTGAAAAGCTGAGGCTGTAATGACAGACAGGGGCTGGATCTCTGGAGAAGATCTGCCTTGGAAGCTGGCATAGGTAGGGGTCATCTGGGGAGAATAGTGCAAGGAGTTGAAAAGAAAGATTGTGCCACCATGCATTAGGTGAGCACTGGGAGTGAAGGTGGAAAGAGTGACAGTTATAGAGGTATTTTTCAATATTTCAGTCATTTGGAAGTGTAATGTTCTTTTAGTACAAGATGTGCTTTGTTCTGGGCTTCTTGGTTTTAGCACAAGATGTATTGAAACTCCAGCAGAAGTGCTGTGGTAGGTGCATGGACCGTATCACCTCCTGACTGGGACAGACCCAAGCAGAGGAAACCTGCTTAACCTGCTTGGGGTTTTTTTGTAGCCAAAAGGCCAAATCCATGGTTTTGAAAGTCAGTCTTACTAGGATTAGTTTTTAGGAAAGTTCTGCCCAGGTGATCTCTCAGAGAGAGATCAGGGCATAGGCTGTTGTTTTATTCCAGCATTTGGTGCTCTAGCATTGCCATCCTTAAATGTCAGTCCATCCTCAGGCCCCTGCTGTACTCTGTCCAACTTCTGTCATGCTGTGCTGGGCTGTGTAGATGGCAGCACACTGCCCTCTCCTTGCAGCTCTGCTCTGGCCTCTGCAGTGCAAGCTGTGGTGATGGGAGCTCGCCACCTTTCCTTTTGCATCTCTTGATGCTTTCAGCATCATAACCACTTGAATCCTTGGGGTTTTGCTGCTCTCCTGAACTTTGCCATCTTTTCCTCCCTTCTAGTCCGTTCCCATCATCTCTCATTCCCGCTGGCTGCTGAAGCAGGGGGAACTGCAGCAAATGAATGGTCCAAAGACATCACGAACGCTTCGCACCAAAAAACTCTTCAGAGAAATCTACCTGTTCCTTTTCAATGATCTGCTGGTGATTTGCCGGCAAATTCCTGGGTGAGTGCAAAATTCAGGTAGTACACAGGATACTTCATTAGTTCTATTGCCCCAGGTTTACCCAGCCTGTGATGCTGTGACCCCATCCTGTCCCTCAGGCACAGGGAGGGCATCCTGGCCTGACATGTACATCTCCCTCCAGCAGCCACCTTGCCTTTGAGCACAGGTGATTCTTCATGCATGGCACAGCTCTCTCCAGCTGAAAATTTGTGGCCAATAGGGGTTAAACAGATCCCAGGGCAGATCTGCCAGCAGGGTGACTATGCATCCAGCAGTTCCTGCAGGGTAGCAGTGAGTTACACTGGCTGGTGTGCTGACCCTGGAGACCTGTCTTTCTGTCAAGAAGTGATTTTTGACTTTTTGCTACCTAAAGAACAGCTCAGATTAGTCATTTAAAACTCTTAAAAAAGCCAACTAGAAAGTTAGATGAGCAGGGAGAGGTATAAATTTCGGTCTGAGGCCAGTGGTTTATTTGACACGGTGTAACCTGCCTCAGGAGGAGGAGGATGTTGTTGTGCTGAGGACTGTGTCTTGTGCAAGCAAATGCTGGTGAAATATAGCAGCAGAGAACAGCACGCTCTTTGTGGTGTGAATTAGACCCACTGGTAGGGAGCATCTTGCCCATCCAGTGTTCCTAATGAACATGTCGCCACAGTGTCTGTACACTGGGAAATGTTTTGCTTCTGTGGCAACTTGTATCCAGAAAACACAGAGGCACTTCATAAATAGGAATGAATTAAGCCTCACAATCCCCTTTGAGGGAGCGCCATCTGTGTTTTGGACGTGAGGAGCCAAGACGGAGCAAGCAGCTTATTCCAGGCCATGAGGGATGCCCAGGGCAGAGCACGGAGAGAGTTCCTTGCTTTGCAGTGAGTTTTCATAGCCACACGCTCATCTCTTCTCACAGCAGGACATCTTTTTTCCTCTTGCCATGCAGCAGCTCTTGGTCTGTGTCCTCAGTACAGCTCTGGGTGGCTGAAGTCAGTCTCCTGCAATAACCACAGCTTTTCCTAATCTCCTCTCTAACCTCTCCCAGGGACAAGTATCAAGTGTTTGACTCTGCTCCCCGAGGGCTTCTTCGGGTAGAGGAGTTAGAAGATCAGGGGCAGAGTTTGGCCAATGTCTTCATCTTGAGGCTTCTAGAGAATGCAGACGACCGGGAGGCCAGCTACATGCTGAAGGCATCATCCCAGTGAGTACCAGTCACCCTGCCAGCACTCAGCAGTGCTTGCTCCCTACATGCTGCCTTCATGGGCACCAGCTGTCCAGGCTTTCCAGGGATGGGCAGGGAGGGATCCCACTGCTGCAGCTGAGCTGGCCCTACCAACCTCTCTGCCCAGCATAACTACCCTGAGGCTACTGAAAGGCACGGGTCACCTAGGCAGGTTTCTCTCTGGTAGGGTGTATTTGAGGCATCTGGGGATGGTGGACAGACAGGCAGTTCCTGTTCTGGGACAGAGAGGTCAGAAATCAGCCCAGGTGCCTTGCCCCAGCTGATTTTCAGCCTGCAGCATATTCAGAAAGTAAGACCAAGCAGGATACACACTGACACACTGCAATGGCTCCACTGACTCACAAGGATCATGGCCATGCCTGACCAGCCCTGTGGGGCAAAGTGTCTTCTGCTTGTGGGTGAAGGTGGGAGAAAAGGTTGCTTCTTCCATGTCTCCACAGCCAGTGCCAAACTTGCGCAGCCCTTCTGCTACTCAGGGCCTCCTTGTCTCCCTGGATACATGTTTCCTGGCTCACTGATTTTTCACTTCAGGCTCCAAAAAGCTCAGGCTGAGCAAATGATCCAGCTGTGCTAGCACTGACCCAATTGTTTTGGAGCATAGGGCATGGCTTTCTCACTGACCCAAGCATTACCAGGCCCACATTTTCTAGCCACCACCTAAACAGCTCCTAGAGACAATGTACATCCCCAAGTTGATGTTATCTGCTGTCAGTAGGCTGATGTTCATCATCCATATTCCTAAATGAACACCAGCCCCAGGGTTGCACCCTACACCCCCCCACCACTGCAGCATCAGGACAACGAGCCCCCAGTACAGGGAGCAGCTGTACCTTCTCCCCAGACATATGGCTGCAGCTCTGCTGCACTGAAAATAGAGATGTCAGTCACACTATGCAGGGCAAGCGCACGTGTGACGTCTGTGAGGCTTGGCTGTGCAGCAAACGATAAACCAGGCCAGGATTTGCTCAGCTCAGGGGATGCAGTCGCAGGTCCGTGCTCTGCAGCCTGTCCCATCTTCTAGGTGGCTACAGCAGGTATGTGATCCAGAACATGGCTTGCCAGCAGGTCTTGAGCACTAAAATGTGACATATCATCTGCTGAAGGTTGCTGTTTCAGAGATACAGGAATGACGGAAGCAGTACTGGGCACAGACTGAAAAATTAAACTGTTAGAAGAGATAAATGGGTGCCAAACAGAGCTACAGCTCTTGCATCAGGCAACAATGACCTGCTCAGTGGCAGCTTGCAGCTCATGCCCTGGATGGGCTTTGCCAGGAGCTGACACTTTATTTGGACACAACTGGATGCACTGATAGAACTGGAGTGTGGGTGAGCTCCTTGCAGGCTGAGAGGAGCTGGGCACTGTGGGTGGATCCATGGAGCTCCACAAGGATCTGTGGACAGGGCCACAAGCACGGCAAGACTCTGGGTTTGACCTCTACATGCTAGAGCTCCTCTGTGCACAAGGCCCTCATACCACACATCTTCATGTGGTGTGACCTGCAGGTGTTTCCACTGGTCCTTAGCACTGTTCTTCATACCTGAAATATAAAGTATTCCCAACACCACAGATCAACCTGCCAGCACTTGTCCTGTACATCCCTCTTTTAGGCCCCTCTCCTCCCTGAAGACACTCCCATGGCTTTTCATGTGTGTCAAGCTCAGGCTTTAAAACCACCTGAGAAGGCAGAAGAATCTGGCTCTCTAGCAGCTAGAAGCACATCTGGTCTTCCAGGCAGTAGCATGTGAACTGCCCCATTTCCTTGTGGGGCTGAGGGGAACCTGAGGGGATCCAGGCCTGGGACTCTCCAGCATTTGTGAAATCTTCACCCTCCCAGCTGCAAGTCCAGGTTTTGCAGTGTGCTGTTCACATGGGTCTTGTTGCCAAGTAAGTGGTACCCTTGGTGTGCTGCAGTGCTCTTCTGCAAGGGAAGTAATCAGTTCTTCCCTTTAAACTGCTTCCTACACAGCAGTTGTGGGAATAAATGGTTCCTGTAACTGCATATCTCACGGAAAAACTGCTCCTGTTGACCAGCCCAACCAGGAGCTGCCTTTGCTTGTTACTTCTCAGAAAATACCAGGCCCCCCATCTTGCTGCTGGCTCTCAGCAGCAAGGCTAGCAGAGGGACTGTGCTGCCTGTGGAGGACAGCCAGGGCTGTGCAGCAGGGCCCAGAGCACTGTGTCATGTGTGACATCCCGACTGGGGTGTGCAACAGTGGGGCTCAGCATCACCACTGAACCCAGGACCCTGGAGGGGCAGGCAGGAAAAGTCTGGAAGGAGGAATATGAAGTGCAGAACTGTCTGGGCAGAAGAACTAGGGCCCCTACAACCCTTTCATGTTCACAGCCTTGGTTTGTCTCCCTTATCCAGGAGTGAAATGAAGCGCTGGATGATTTCACTGGCCCCAAACCGGAGAACCAAATTTGTTTCATTTACATCCAGACTTGTTGGTAAGAGACACAGCATGGGAGCTTTTCACCCCTACCACAGGGCACCCTATTCTGCGTGATCTCAGTGCAGCCACATATCTGGGACCTATGCCAAAGCTGAACCCTCTCCCTGGGCTCCTCTCCTTTTCCACTATCAAGCCCAGAGCTCGGTTGACATCTGGGCCTGGCCCTGACCTCAACCCCTCAAACCTGGTCTAGGCTGCACCAGCACTCTCCCTCCCATCCAGGCTGCTCACGGCTGGCTGCTCATGGCTGGCACTGTGGTGGTGACATTGGGCTCCCTTCCCAAGAGTTGCTTCCTTGGTACCTGTGGTTGGGGCACTCCCTGGCTTCCCCAGAGGCCCTTAACAGATCAGAGGGACCATGTGCAGAGCTCATGGGGCTACAGCCATCCAAGCTGTGCTGTTCTTCAAGGGGCTCCATCCCAATCCACCTCTCACTCTCACCCTGTTCCTTGGCAGACTGCCCACAGATCCAGTGTGTCCACCCGTACGTGGCCCAGCAGCCTGATGAGCTCTCCTTAGAACTGGCTGATGTCCTCAACATCCTGGACAAGACAGATGATGGTATGGGGATGGGATGGGGATGGGCTGGGAGTCCCTGTGGAAGGATGGGCTTTGCTGCAGGCAGGCAGCTGTGAGTCTCTCCCTCCAGCCAGGGAGAGGCTCTGGCATCAGCATCACAGCCAGAGAAGGAAGTTATTGCCTTCTCCTAATTCCTTAAGTTGTGGCAACATTGGCACAGCCTCCCAGCACCAGCTGTGGGCCATGGTTAAGCTAGCACAGCCACCCCAGATAGGGGCAGCAGAGGGCACTTGGTGGCAGCAGTGCCTGCTGTGTCTGCTGACATCCCTTGAGCCAGTTGTCCTCACACAATGCTGCTCAGGTGAGCAGACCTGATGTTCAGCCTGGGTCTGCTCCAGCACAGGCCTCTGAGTAGCTTCCAGAAAGCTCTGCCAGCTCGAATGGCTCTTTCCAGCACAACTGTCCCAGTGCAGGAGCAAGGGCCAGTCCTTCCCCACTTATGCCTGTCTCTGTCTGTGCTCAGGCTGGATATTTGGGGAACGTCTTCACGACCAGGAGAGGGGCTGGTTCCCCAGTTCTATGGGGGAGGAGATCCTGAACCCCAAAATCCGAGCCCAGAACCTGAAGGAGTGTTTCCGGGTGCACAAGTCAGATGACAGTCAGAGAAGGAAACTGGGCAGCAGAAATCGCCAATGACCACCAGCACCCCCAAGCTTCTGGAGTGCCTCAGAGAGGCAGAAGACAGAGGCTGCCTGCTGGGAGGAGGTGGCAGCTGTGGGACACTGTGGGGGACCTGGTACAGACGAGGCACACACACCCATGAACAAACAGACTGTCGTTCCTGGGCCCCCTGGCAGCACTGGTCCTTTCCTGGAGATCAGCGCTTTAAACTGTAAAATAACCCCTTTTCCAAGTGTTCTGTACAGCCCCAAAGAGCATGAGCTCAACAGACACTGCCCAGAGGCCACTGGGTGCTGGCCAGATGAGCCACATGTGCTGGCTGCTTGGGAAAGGCAATGGCCACAAACATCACTGAGCAATTAATATCACCCAGTTTAAGCACTAAAAGCTCATTGCTACCTTCCAAGTCTGGAGTGTTCTGAACCCAGCATCTCACAGGTCAAGCAAGTAGACTCAACTGTCTCTCAAGAGCCATTGGCAACAGGCTGGGATAAGCCCCAGGACCTCCACCACCCTAGTCCTGCTGTGAAGCCGCTGGGCTCATTCCCACAGGCAGACCTCAATCTGCTTCCAGTCAAATGCTCTCCAGTGCTCCACACCCAGCTCTTCTCCAGCAGCAGCCCAGCCTTGACAGCCCTGACCCACATCTCTGCCTGACAACCTCGAAGCACATCTGGGCCCAGGACCATGGCTCAGCCCCCTCTTCCACAGCCCACCTTCTTCTGTAGGGCCACTGCAGAACCCCTGCATCATGGTCTTTCCTGGTTGATCGTGCTCTTGTGGTCTTTGCTACTCCCTGCTGCCAAGGCCAAAGCAGGGGTGGCTGTGCCAGGGCCATCTCACACACCACATGAGCTACGGGAGCACCAGCAGCCCCAGGTGCCACACAGCAGGTGAGTGACCTTACCTGGGAGCTGCTGTCCTGCGTGCTCTGGGAGGCCCAACAACCACTGCCTGCATGCTTTTAACCCACCCCCATCAGCCTCCCTGTACAGGCTCACCTCCGTGTAAATATGCAAGTCCTGTGGCCAACAGAGCCAGCTCATCAACGCATGAAGCCCCAGGCACAGCACTGAGAGCAGCCTGGGGAACAGACCCACGGCAGCCACCCCTTGTTCAACAGTCCCACACGTGGCTGAGGGCCTCTCAGCCCTCAAGCTGGGCCCAGCATCCATGAGGAAAATCAATTATTTAGCACCTTCCTGTAACACAGCAAAGGATTGTCTTCCAGGCATTGTAGCCTGTGCTGATGTATGCTCTGGCCGTGCCACAGTTGTGCTCAGAAAGGGGACAGAGAGCAGCTGCCGATGGAGCCACGCAGTAGCCATGGGCATGGACGGAGGAGCACAGCTATGCCAGCAGGAATGTGGGGAGAAAGCAGGATGCTTGGAAGGAAGGCTGCAGAACTGCTCTTTGGACACATGGAGTGTGCAGTGTGAGGCCCAAAACAGCTGAGATGAATTCCAGGGCTGTCCCTACTGAAACCACAGCCCTGGGACAGCCAGCCCAGAGCCAGCACCCAGGACCAAAGTGGTGGGAGCCACAGCACTGAAAGGGGACAGAAGGCATTCTTCACTCAGGCACAGATTAGTGCCACCATATTAAGCATGTGACAACAGCCAGCAGGACTGTGCTGCCTTGGGCACCTGTGGGAAGTTTATACTAGCCAGTAATTCCCAGTCACTGCCCAGCCCCAGAGCTGGGCCAGGAAGGACTTGCAGCCTCCAATCTGGTGCATTGGGCAGATTTAATGAGGACTCCCCAAGCCAGGTCCCTCCGGCAGCACTCCACAGTGTGCTTTCTGAGACAACCAAACTTCCAGCTCAGGATCCAAACTTTGCAACAGCCGCAAATTCACTAGTGCAAACCCCAGAGGAGCTCCAGCTCTAGGAATTTCTTAAAATTACCTGAGAAGCCGCTACATCTCGCATCATCCAGCTTTGCAGCCCAGCAGCCAGCCCAGTCCAGCACAGGGCCTGCAGCCCCATGTGCCTGCCTGGCATGTTTCTCGCAGCACAGAAATGCTCCCATCAGATGTTTCACCAGTTCCCCAGTGCTAGGATGCCAGTTCCTCACTGCACTGCTCCAGGGAGAACGGCTCAGTGCTGCTGTGCTCTGTTCCATCACTCCCCACCAAGCCCTGGGATTGTTCCAGCCCCTCCTGCTCCATTGCAATTCCATAGGACTCCAGACCCCAGGCACAGGCTGTGCCATTTTCAAGTGCTGAATGGCATCCAGTGTTATTTCCTCAGACCCAGCCCTGCACGCCTCCATCTCAGTGGTCTCCAGTGTTGTACAGGGCCAGGCCTGGGGCCCACAAGTATGGGCTGAAGCCCCACAGCCCTTGCCAGGCTGCCTCAGCAAACTGAGGGGAACTTCTTGTTGTCTCGTTTATCTGTGATAAAATGTAGCTGAGCAAGCCAGCGCCAAAACACTTGTGTGTCTCCTTCCTCCCCTGGACTGATCACTTGTCTCTTCCCCAGTACCCTCCTGTGCAACTGGCCCAAATGCAGTGGGTGAAAATGGGGTTGCACATGAACAACCCTTCCCTAGGAAAGTTGTGCAGGGAGATGCCCAACACTGTTACCATCACCTAGACTAGACCCAGAAAGGCCCTTCTGAGCTCCCAGCTCAAAGCCACACACTGCCACAGGTTCCTCCTGCGTGGGGTTGACAGGCCCTGCCATGTCTGTATCACCAGGAGATAAACACACACACGAACCAAGGGCAGTGAGAACTTGATGCAGCCTGGCTGCCCAGCACAGGGCCTGCAGTGCTTTTCCTGTTATCCATGGCACTATTCCCCCCAGGGCCCCAGGCAGACAGTTCAGGAGCAGTTTATGGCTAGAGACAGACCAGTTGTGTTAACAGAAAAATCTTTTATTGAGTTCAGGAGGCCGAGAACTTTCTCAGTGTGATGATGACCAAGGCCACAAGCACAGATGTACCCAGGAGGGAGGCGATGACAATGGCACCAATAGCTCCAGGCCCCAGCGAGCCTGCAGGAACAGAGAAAAAGACATGAGGTCAGCAAAGGCTGTGGAGCCCATATGGGAAGGGCTCCAAGGATCACCCCTCATCCAGCATGTCCCCAGGTATCAGACCACACTCCTGTCACGGAGCTCCCTGCACTGGCCATGTCCCATGTCCTAACACAACCCAGGTGTGGTCCTGTGCACCTTTGGGCAGGGGGCTGTAGCCAGCCACCGCCATCTCAGCCAGCTCCCAGTGACAAGGACTGCTGCCACAAAGTGGGTCGGTGGTGTCCAGCTTTCCTGCTAACACACCAGGAGAGTTGCTTTGCTTGTGGCAGAACCACATCTCAGCTGGTGCTTGCTGTCAGTCAGGAGCCCCGAGCCATGAAAGGCACTCATGCTTCCTGTGTCCAGGGAGCTCCCTGCATGCTCTGTACTGGATAGCCCTACCTGCACTCAGGGCAGTTTTCAGAGCAGGTGCCTGCCATGACAGGTCATGGGGCAGGAAGAAGTGTCTTGGAGCCATCTTGGGACTGGCAAGAGCTCTGCAGCAGAGGCTTTTCAACAGGGAAGTTTCCACAAGCAGGCAAATAAAACCCTCCCCAGCAGTGTGGCTTTAACCTCTCCTGGGAGAAGACAGGCCCACAGGGAGCAAATCCACCGTGAGGCCATCCCAGGCTGCTGCGGGAGCCAGCCGCGGTCAGTCCCTATCACAGCCACTCACCGTCCCCGGCGTCCAGCCGGTGCAGCTGGGTGGTGTCCTCGGGCTCCAGCTCCGAGGTGTACGGGGGGAAGGCAGTGGCGTCCGACAGCCGGGCGGGGTTGGTGGCAGCGTCGAAGGGACCGGCTCCGGAGGGCAGCTCGGGTGGCTCGTTCCAGAGGGTGGGAACCGGGTCCTGCGGGTACTCTGCTGGAAGACAAGCACCCCACAGGCACGGGGGGCCTGGTCAGGCTAATAGTGATAACCACAGGTCCCCAGGTGCCTGCCTGGTGCCTCTGAGGTGCATCAAGGGTGACCTGCAGGCTGAGAATCCCGGTATGGCAGAGGCCTCCTCTGAGGGACACCTCTGCTGAACAGCCATACCCAGAGCAGCAAAAGGCAATGCTTCTGTGGCAACCTAGCATATACACAGCACACACGAGACAACACAATGTCCTGACACCCTGCAACCTCTGCTCATGCACAAACGGGCCCCACATGAACATCCACAGCTGGTTTGCTCATGGATGCCCTTGGGACTGGGCTAGGAAGGGCTGTCACACTTCCAACAGGCAGAGGCCACCAGGCCACCTGTGCGGCCAAATTCACAGCATCTCAGGGTTCTTTTGTCCTGCACCACCAGCCCCTGCAGTGCACGATGCTGGAGGTGCTGTCACAGCACAGGACATGGCTCCCCCAGACAGGACCCCAGAGCCTCGACTCCCCCCTGCTGCACCCCCGCCATACTGGGGAGATGAAAGCCTGGCTGGGTTCTGTTTAACATTACCACTCGTCTCCTGTTATTCCTTCCTGCCGTGGGTCAGAGACCAAGCCAGAGAGCCCTCCCTGTGTGTGGCTCACCAAGCACTCCCTGTCAATGCCCAGCCTTGTTCAGGTGGGCTCTGGCAGGAGCAGGAGACATTCCACAGCTCCCTGCTAAACCACTGGGAATGTTGCACTGGGATGGGGAAAAAAGCAGGAGGGAGAAAAACGAACAACATTCACTGCCAGGGCCCACCTGAACTGACACAATGGTTGTCAGGACTGGGAAATAGGGAGTCAAAAGCTGGAGCAAGCACACAAGTTCCCTGGGGCAAGGCACAGAGGTGCCCCAGGCACCCCAACTCTGGTGTGTGAACCTTGGTGTACCAGGGGCACTCAAGATTTGTCCCAGGCTCTCTATAGCCCAGGAAGAGAGATGGCAACAGCACATTTTGGCAGTGCCAGCCCCAGCTTTAATTGCCTGGAGCCCTCCTTGTCTCCTGTAGACAGAAGGCACTGTGGGAGGACAGCAAAGAGTCCTCATTAATGGGCTGCACCACACTTTGTTCTCCCTTCAGATCCCTCCCTGGAAGAGGAGGGCCAACACACCTTTCCTGCCAGTACAAACCTGCTGAGAACTTACTGCAGGGCTTGCATTGAAGTGTAGCTCCCACCATCCCCAGAGCTATTCCAGGCTGCCCACAATCTTGGGAACACAGCAAAGTTCTAGACTAGTTTGGAAAGCTCTTTCTACAGGTGGAAAAGCTACAAGGTATCCAGCGAGACAGCTGCCAGGTTTAATCCTAGCCCAATGAGCATTGACAGAGACAAGTTTAAGTCCCCAGCACGCAACCTGTGCAAGTTAGACCCAGGCAGGAACCCAGTCAAAGCTGGGTGTAGCAGAGAACATGCTGTCCTCACACACTTAGTACATCCATGGTCTCTGCAGCAGATGTGGCATCTTGGCTCCCCTGTACAAGCACACAGATTTGTGTTCCACAAGAGCTCCCCAGAAACACCCAAGTCTTTGCAGGGCCCTTCCCATCTTGTGCTGCAAAACCAACCAGCAGAGCTGAAGACTCATATCCCATCCCATGGCTCTTCCAAAAAGTGCCATTTCCAGTGGACCTCTCTACTTTAAATCCTGTGGTTTCACTGCCAGAGAATGGAACAGGAGGAAATACAGAATTCATGTCATTAATGCAGGAGAGAACCAAGCAGAGCTGAGCTATTTAGCTGGCAACAGTGGCATGGGGAAGCTGTTGGTTTAGGAACAGACCAAACATACAGAATGCTTTGGAAGCCCCAGCTCCAGGCTGCTTTTTTAAGGGAGAAACTCCATACAGAAGAGCCACACTCCAGCTGTGACCTTCCTGACTCTGTCAACACCCCCAGGACCAGAACCAACACTGCCACTGAACCCATCTGGCAGAGGAACACAGTGCTGGGAAGAAAGTCTTGCTTCCTTTCCCAAGAATGTTTTTTTTTTCTCCAGAGCTGTGCATTTGCCTTGTGTGCGACCAGGGACTGGTGTTAGTTCAGATGATCTGTAACAGATGCAGGCACCATCCAAGGAGACTGTATGACCTGGGCTGGGCCTTCCCAGTCCCTGCTCTCAAAGGGATGAGGAGGGAGCACTGTCTTCCAACAGCAGGTGCCACCAGACCCAGAGGTGCCAGAAAGTCTCTCCTGTTCTCAGTGCTTCTAGCTGCTGAAAAAATTTCTGGCAGCTCTCTTAAAGCAGGGCACAGAGCTTATTTTTGATAGCCAAATACAGAAGAAACAGTCTAATTTGTTTATGATCTCCATGATTTTTAAAAACTTGGATGGCTGCTGGACATGTATTTTGTTAATTCCCCTCATCAGACCAACACACACTTTCATTTTGCCCACACAGAAAGGGCAGAATGTGCTTAACATGCATTTGCTGTCCTGAGTTCTTGCGGTTTTACCCTACCAGCACTTCAACCCAGGGAAACACAACCTCTTTCAGTTAGGTCTGATGCCTCAGGAACACTTGTGAGCTCAGAGGCAGCAGCAGATTTCTGCACACACATTGCATGAAGTACCTGCAGCTGAGCCTCCCCGGGAGCCAGGGCTTGATGCTGGTCCCCTTCTCAGCTCCTGCCCCTCAATGCTGCTGCTGCAGGTGACAAGGGCCCTGCCATTGGCACACAGGTGGGGGAACACAAAATGAGAGGCAAGTTCCTCCAGAGCCTGTTGCTGCAGCTTGGGAGAACATCTGCTCACAACCAGCACTGTTCTCTCCACGTTTCTCTTTTGATTTTCCCTCCTAACCTAACAGCTCATGTCCTCACATGCCTCCGCTCTGCTGGCTGAGAAACCCAAGCACCCATCCAGCAGGTTTCTTTAACAAGCAGAGGTTTCCCACCTGCTTCTTTGACAGTCCCAATGAGTGTCAGATCTCTAATGGACCCACATCAAATGCCACAATTCCATTTCAGTCCCTTGGTAAAAGCTAGTGATGGGAAGGACAGGGTTTGGGTCAGGTACCAAACCCCAACACATGCACACTATCAGTAAAGTCTCATGTCTCAAAGTGAGACACAAAGGCCTTTTCCAACCACCTGTTAGATAGAATCTGGAGAGATTCTAGGTACAGGCAGGGGACCCAGTTCAGGAGGTTCAGTTCTCTGCTCTGCTACTGATGTTTTGTGTGACCACCATAAGTCCTGCTCCTCACAGGCTGAGTTTCTCTATGCATGAGCAGGATATCAGAATCTAAACATGATTTACAGAGAGAACAGCACCAGAGTGGCCAGGCCTTCCTGCCCACACCATCGCCATCATTCTGACTGTGACAAGGAGGACATGGCCTGTGAACCTCAACAAACGCCTCAGTGACAGCTCTGGACCTGGCAGCAGCCTTTCCCAAGGAAAGGGCAGGTTGAAGGGAAGCTCCATGGCCATGGGGCAAGAAACAGAATTTTCAACTTGTAAGAACACCCAAACATGCTGCCATCTCCAGGGAGGGAGTGCAACCAAGAGCTGGAAACTAATTACTGAAGGTAAGGTAGTGCATGGCTTTCCTGTTCACCCAAGAACTTTGTAGAAATAAAGAACTAGCAAGAAACACATCATCCATCACAAGACCAGATGTTTAACATCTGGGAGAAAGCCATGCATTAGCTGTGCTGCCATCAGTCACAGGACCAGTTGTACCTCTAGAAAACTCCCGTGGTGCACTCACATGGTTTGTTTGCCCTGCAGGGACTTGGCAGGGGCAGCCAGGGGCACATGGAGGGGCTGCCAGGCTGCTGAGGCACACGAGTGACCCACCACTGCCAAGGCTCCGTACCTCAGTGCAAGCTGTTCCGGAGGGAGGGAAACCTCCAGGCTCTGGCACTAATGAGCTCTTCCCCAGCATTAGCTCTGTCTCAGCACTGAAGCACAAGCTGAGGGCAACTGTTGCTTTCAGACTAACAGTAAAAGCCTTTTCATAAGGAAGTTGGAGAACACCAAGGAGAACAACATGCAATAATCTTATTGGAGTTTTACTGGAGATAGAACTGGACAAAATGGACTAAAATTATTAGAATGTTTTGCAGAAGGACAGGTGGATGATGGCAGTTCTTCCTTCCCACATGTTAACACTACAAATTGTCTCATTTTAGGGAAATCTCTTTGCTGCACTGTCTTCTCCCTCTCCCTAGCACAGGTTAGTTATAACTGAGGTGAGAAAATGGAAAGAAAATATCAGTTACCATAAGGAAATACATGATGAGCTTTCCAAGTGATGCAGGGGCCAGTGGAACTCCAGACACACGGGCTGTAGAAAGACCTACTGGGGATGATGGCAAAGGCAACTTTGCAAAACTGCTATTTCCATGCTCAGAAAGAGGGTGGGGTGAGCTGCCAGCACAGTGACATGGTAGCCAGTACCCCAGGTACTTAGTGACTGGAAGAGTGTCTACAAGTGACAGCCTTGGGGGAAGCCAACCAGACCCTCCCCACAGGCCACCTGTAAGACCTTAAGGGAGGCAGGTATGGCCACGTCACATCATTGCCCCTGGAGGTTACTTGCCACTGGCCAGTAGTCTTCTTCACACAAGCTGAGTGCAGCACCTCATCATCCACCGCCTCCAACCTAGCTCCTTATTCAGGAGTCAATACCAGCATTAGAAATTCATAAGGAGCATCGGAGCAGAGCAAGGTTGAGTAATGGCTTACAAAGTCCTGGTTTAAGTCTGGACAGATCTGCTGGAACAATGACATCTTTTCCTGAAATTTGCCAAACAAAACCTATTTACCACTATCCACGTTCTAGTACTTAAGCTTTAAAAAACTTCCTAAAAATCTCCTATTCCCCTGCAGTTGAAAACAAACACACAAGCTGCTACAGAAAGATGTCCCTGGTCAAGGTGTTTTCCTGTGTCTTTTCCATTAGTGTGTGTGCTCTGTTGCTTTTTCCCCCCCAGACTCATTCTGATGTGCTACTGCAGTAAAAGAGATTTCCACATTATTCAAAACAGGCTCATGAGCCCATATGTGAGCTCAAATACCAAATATACACAATTCAGAAGCCAGCACCTTGCAAAGGCTTGTACTAACTTCCTTAGTTACTTCCTTTGAAGCTCTGAATCCATTACAGGAGTTGAAACTAGGTTTGCTGATAGGGAAAAAAATAAAAATCAGCTCTTTATCCTCCTGTGCTCTACACCTACATGCCACTTGGGTTTGGAGAAAGAAGAAGAGGAGAAGGCTTAAATTTGCCACAGATCCTTAAGCTGGCCGGTTCCTGTTGCACCCAGCTGATGGGGACAAAAAGGGTTAATGATGTGCTTGGTTGCTTCCCCACCTTTGACAAATGTGACCTTGGAAAGAGCTCAGTAAATAGGAGAAGTTCACACTTTCAACAGTTTGCAGAGCCCTGACCATGCTGTCCAGGAACTCAGACCAGCTGGGCAAGCAACCAAAAAGGAGAGGAGACTCATCATGGGCATGGGGTCTGCATGACCAGCACCAGCTGCAGCCCTCCCCCAGGCAGAGCCACTCCTGCTTACTCTGGAGGGCTCTGCTGGGGAGAGTCAGAGGTGCTGAGATGAAAGGGCAGGGGCTGGTGAACTCTGAGGCCAGCAAGGGGCTGTCCAGCCCCAGGTGGCCATGGCAGGCACAGGGCCAGGGCAGGGCTGAAAGGAGGCCTTCAGCAGCAGCACAAAGGGCAGCCTGTGGCGGGCAAGGCCAGGAGCTCCTGTGTGCAGCAACTGCAGAGCTGTGGTTCTGATGGATGCTAAGTAAACTTGTTTACAGAAAGGCAGAGCTGTGTGTGTATGTGCTGAGACCAGAGGGCTGTCTGTGTGCCCTTCCCCTCTTTGTCTGCACCAGGCCTGAAATTTCCTTTCCTAATGGAGTAAAAGAGAAAAATTTCCACTGTTACTCAAAGCACCTGTACTGGGGGCAGGAACTCTCCATGTCTAATGCAGCAGAGACTCATTCTGCTTCTGGGATGGCTTACTGTCCAGGCTGGTTCCCTCATGTCCTCTCTGAGGGAGCAGGGAACAACCTGTTAGAGGCCTTCAGTCTCTGAAACACTGCAGAGAAAGCACAGAATCCCTCCTACACCCCAAGATCTGGATGTCACACTCCCTGGTAACAAAGCCCTTCAAGCCTCACTGCGTGACCACGACTCATCCAGTAACTGGATCAAGGAAACTTGGGAGAAGTGGCACAGGATGGCAGCACCAGGCACAAACCATAGCTGTAATGCCAGAGCAAGCACATCAAAAAGCTGGCAAGAAGCAGGGGGGCAGAGCAAACGCACCAAATACTGGAAATTTAAAACAGCACAGAAGAGATCCCAGCTTGGAGAGGAAGCAGATTGAATTCTCACTTGAAATCAATCACTTGCTGCAGAGTGAAATACTAATGATTAGCTAATGATTAAGAAAAGACCTTACCTGGTATGGGGAAAGAGCATGGCCAGTGCTGCTGAAAGCAAGAGCGAGACACAAACTGAAACTGTGCTGAAGTGATTAATGTTACACTGTATGAAAAAAAAAAGCTCACGGTTTAAGAAGGAAAGTATCTATTTTTTAGTGCTCATATCTTAGCTAAAGATTTCCCAGCACAAAGGTGTCCCAGAAGATACCAGCTGCACTAATTCTATTCCTCCACCCACAGATGTTCCAGCCAGGCACTGCAGTGAAGTCCCCTACCCATATGAAAGCTCCTTTAAAAATAATTCCATAATTTGATTTCCTAGACAGCTGGCCAGGATCTCCCTGAGAAGAGGCAAGATGCTCAGAAGAAACTTGGAGAGAACTGCAAAACAATGTTACTCCTGGTCTTGGAAGGCAGGACAGGAATTTAGGAAAACAAAGGCTGTGCCTGTTATCTTGGTCCCAACCATCTCTTCAGTCTTGCCTCCACTGCAGGAAAGGCTTTGGGGGAAGCAATTCCCCAGTAGAGTTTCCACCTGTACACTCGGAGCCCATCAGTGCAGTGGGTATGGAAATCAGTTTTTCCCCAGCTGTAAAACCCACCTCAGAACTGCAGCTTTTGAAGCTGCCTGTGCCCACAGCTCCCTGCAGCCAGCACAACTCTGCTGAAGGCAGTAGCAGATAAAACTGAAATTCATAAGAATCCCCAGAAAAACAGTGCCTTACTCAACAGGCATCTCTCCCATTCTTCTGCCCATCTCTTCACTGAGTGCAGAGCCAGGCACCTTCCCTGCACTGCCCTGGTGCCCCAGGTCCAAAGCAACTCTGGAAAGATGCACAGCTTGGCTTTGGGCTGAGGTTTTCACACACTTCCCTAGCTCTGCCTAAAGCAGCTGCTGTGCTCTGCTGTAATCAAGAGCACAGAAGGAAGCAGGAATTGACAGAGGCTTTAGCCAAAGAAAAATGTTTCTATAACTCCAATTTCTTCCTGCCATTAAAAGCTGAGGGACAGCCTGTCCCATCAGCTGCTGAGAGGTTTTCCATCTCCTGATGATTGATGCATCCACTGACCCCCACCCACCAATGCTCACATAGGTACTACTGCCGTTCTTAGGAAAAGTTAAAGGATTTTCTCCACTGAAAATACATTCCTGCTCACCAGCAGCAAACAAAGCTAGTTTCCCTTAATCAATTACAATTCAATACATATTTAGTTATGTTTTCAGGAAAGGGAGAAGAGAAAGGGACAGTGTAGTAAAGGATATCCCAAGCTTTTGGTCTTTAAATGCAAACAAAGCTCCTTACCTGCCAGCACAGCAGGGACCAGGATGCTGCACAGCATTAGCAGGACCAGGTGAAGGACTCTGTGGTAGGGCATGGCTTCCCTCAGGAAAAGCATCAGCAGGAATCCTTAAAACTCTTCAAAGCACAAAACAACTCAGAAATTTCACTGTTATAATAAAAAATTTGTTCAATCAGGTAAAAAAGAAAAAAAAAGAAGAAAAAAAAAAGAAAAAAAAAAGAGAAAAAAAAAGAGAAAAAAGTTTGCTAAAGCAACCGTGCAGAGAGTGCAAAGCCCAGCAGAGCCTCCCTTGCTCTGGCTCCAGGAGCACACCTCCTCCCAAAGGCAGCTCCACCCTCCCAAACTTGTGCCTAAAACCCCATAGGCAGCGAAGCAGAGCCATCAGGACCCTGCCAGGCCACTGCACACATGAGCAGCTGTTGGTGAGCCCTCCCCAGAGGCCATGAAGATGCTCCTGGAATGCCTTCCCTCAGGCAGGCCATCCCAAAGCACAGGAAACAACACAGGAGCCATTGGGGCAGCTCAGCCTAAGACCAAGCAGCCCATTCGAGGGCTCTGCTCTCCCTCACTGTGCAGGGTGGGGAGAGCAAAGAACAAGGGCCTCAATCTTCCGAGGCTAAAATGCTCTGACATGGAGCCAGAGCAGCTCCATGGCATCCTTGTTCCTTGGTGGAATACTTACAGAGCTAGCCTGGGAGCCATGGGTGGTCTCAGAACTGCTGTCAAGTGCTCCAGGAGAGTTGCCTTTGGCAGGCAATGGCATCCTCCTCAAATCCCAACTGCTCAGGCACCACCTCCTCCCACCAGCCTCTGCCACTCTGTCCCTGCCTGCGTCGGGGGCTCACGGCAGTTCACAACATGGAAAACCCAGGTTTGTTTCAAATCATATTTGCAGCAACAAAGAATGGGGAAAGGTGTATAAAAAGGGGAACACTCCAGCTGATTGTCACAGAAGAAATTTCATTAGTGTTCTGGAGCTGATATGATGATGAATACTTTATGGTTTCCCATCATGTAATGAATACATAAACACCTCCAATGTCAGTTCTTTATGCTCTGAAAGTATGACACAAGTAGTTTTGTCTTAAATTTCAGATTCAGATTTTTCTGCAGCGATCGCTTTGTTTCTTGGAGTCCCTATTCTCCCCATCCCTACTGATCCAAATGACTTGCTACAGAAAAAGTGCTCTGTTTGTCACAGGAGGTGACAAGGCAATCACCTGGGCACACAATCTGTACATGCCACCACCTTACCTTAGTACTAAACACAGAAACCAGAGTATTTCAGCATTAAGAACAGTATTTCTTCCCCACTGAGCCATTATCTACAAATTCTCAGGAGCCAAGTGAAGTCCTCAAGGTCTGACAAATTATCATACATTTTCCCTGCTTGCGTTTCTGCATTTTCATTTAGCAATAGAAGAGCTGTTCCTTTCCTGCTTCCCAGCAGAGCTCCAAACTAACAGGCTTTTGTTACTTGTAACATAGTGTAGAGCAGTCCAAAATTAGCTTGTAGAAATTAGATCATACCAGTAAAAAAACAGAAAGCACTTATGAACCACACACCTTATATGCTAAAAAGAGAAGATATTAAAACAAAGTCAGGTTATCAGCCTAAACACAAACTGTTCTCTCATACATCAGACATTGTGCAAGGCTACTGTGTAAGTTAGGCCTCAGCATAATTATTCTCCATGGTCATGTGAATGGCAGGACATTTACCATTACCTTTACTGGGATTTTCCACACAAAAACAAGTAGAAAAAAAGGAAAATAACTCTAAAAAGAGAAACCTACAAGGTATCCCTGTGGACTTCAGGCTGAGGGGAGAAATAAAACCTCTTATTTAGGGCAGTGCACTGAAGTGCATGGGGTGGGCACAGACTGGCAAAGGAGGCTCTGTGGCCAAGTGTTTGTGTTAAGAGCAAACCAGCCATGGCTTGATCTCCCCTGCATAAACAGCACCAGCATGAATGCACACGTTTCTCTACATACCGTGGAGGAAAATTAAAGCTTTCTTGTTAGAAATTTCCAATATCAACTTACTGGTGTTTATTTGAACTCTAAAATTATCAAGTAGAAAAACCAACCAGTATTCCTCACCAGGGAAGAAATAAAGCAGCAGCTGCTGTTCCACATCATGTGTATTTGCTTGTTGTTTCTTGATGAAAACTGATGCAAGTCAAGTTTAGGTGAGTTTTAGCACCAGGAATTATCTCAATACTCAGCTTTGACAAAAGCAAGCAGAAAGTTTTCTCTCAGATATAATACAACCAGGTTTTATTTCTCTCTTTTTTCCCCCCCCACACTGGCAAAAGTTCAGAGGGAGTTTAAAGTTTTGTAAACATTTTAACTACCCCTCTTCCCCCTTTTATGAATTTACAAAGCAAAGGAGACAGGGAGACCAGATTTGCAACAGTTCCAAGTCTCTCCATGCTATTGGATCCAAAAACTATATACAAGTCTGCAGCAGTCTCTGTATAGTTACTGTACATGTTTGGGGACGGGGGAAGAGAGAGGAGGAGGAGGGGAAGGTGACCCCAAAAAATGAATAAACCAAACAAAATAAAATCCAAAGCCAAACTGCTCTTGAGCAACTCAAACTGTTTTCTTTAGGCAGTGATGACAGAATAACAGACACCTTTATACAACTCCACCAAAACTGCAGCATATCTCCCTTCGCAGGTTACACCCCTCTGGGGACGGGAGATGGGACCAGGGGGGTTCAAACTAAGTGCATTTGGCAGTTTTCCTTCTCTGTCGTTTGTGGTGTGTGTGTGGGGGTGGGTGGTTACGTGGAGCAGGGAAGGTGGTGTTAATCTTTTGGTGAGAGAGGAAGGTTATGACTCCATAAACACTTAGAGGTTATGGATCCCAGTGAAGGTGCATGAAGTACTTTTAAGGTGTAGAAGATAAGCAGGGCCATCATTGCACAAAGCTTCGTCCTCCAGTGTCTCTCTCCATGACGAAAGGGCATCTCTGCTTGATACCTAAGCACTGCTTCAAGTGACAACCAGCTGAGGCTGCTGGCACGTCTCTGAAAGCCAGGGTCCACCCTCTCCAGAGACTACAGATCCACACTGTAAAGATCCCACTGTCTCTTAAACGAGACAAATTTGCAGGAAAAGAGCTCAAAATAAACTGGTCCTAACCCTCTGAAGGTAGCACTTAAGGGGTAAATTCAGCCTGAAAGAAGAGATGCCACCCCCCTTTTTCCAGAGCAGAAGTCCCCACTTGTCCAGGAAGGCTGGAGAATGCCGATGACAGGAACTCCACCAGCTTCAGCATCACCACCTAAGAAGACAGACTCGAACTTTCCCTCCAAAAATTATGTGCTGAGAAGGGCTGGCAGGGGGTGTGCAACTTCAAACCAACCCAAGCTAATCTGTGCCCGCTACCGCCCCTCTCCTGTTGCCAGTTTCTAAGGGTAGCTTATGAATGCAGCTCCTGGCCAGGAGAGCACCTCTTGCCCTGATGGAGCAGCCAAGTCAGTATCTGTGTGGCATTTTGGTTTTGACCAACATCTGTTAACCACAAACTCTCTCTCAATCTCTCTCTCTCTCTCTCTCCATATGACTGCACATGTTGGATGTGGTAAGAGTAACCAGGAGAAGGAAGCAATGCTTTGCAGAATCCCAATTGATTTTTTTTCCAGGTATGTCAGCAGAATGAATCACAGCACAGTGAAAGCTTGCTGCCCAATTCAGCCTTGTTGGGAAACAAAGCCTAACTCCCACCCTCCCGGGACTCTGAACCAAGTCCACTTGAGTGGGCTGACAGTAGGAACAACGCCTGTGCAGTCCTGGGCAGAAAGGGTTTGCTGGGGCCAGAGGAAGCAGCCTGAGATGATTGATCCTGTGATTCACTGCGAGGCAAAGAACAACACAAGGTGGAGAGTACGATGTCCAAACGGAGAATCCATGGTTAACAGATGCAGGAAAAGCCAGTTGATTTGCACATGCTCAGTAGTCTTCCAAAGTCTCTATTTCTCCCATATTGAGCCGCTCTGATGAAGCATTCACCGAAAACCCTGTGAACCAAGAAAGACTGGTTAAAAATCTGGCTGTGGCAAAGTGTACTTGATACAAAACATCAGTTATGCGCAGTACCACATGTAAGAGAAAGTAAGAATCTAGGGGTAGCTCAGGAAGGCTACAGATGCAGTCACACAAACTGATTTTTTCCTGAATAAACTGAAGATAATCAACTGTATATTTAGACATGCATCACTTAGTGTTTAAAAGCAGATCAGAAGACTGTTTTCAAGTTCCATTTAAAAAATGTCACCTGCAGAGTCAGTAGGAGACACATCTATGCATGGTGGTAACGTGGCTCCGTAACATCTCGCATGCTTAAGTCAACTGGCTCTTGGAAGTGGCTGTCAGCACCATATTTACATGGTGTGAGAAGCAGAAATGGGCATTCTGAGAACTTGGAATCCATATGTGGAATCATGTTCTTATGCTTCAGGAGTTGTGAGCAATTTCACCCTTTAAAGCCTCACTGCATGTACCTATGAAATCTAGTACAAATTACATCTATTTCCATGCTTTTTTTACAAACTTCCATCTCAGGAGTACAACATGAAAACGTACAAAGTTACCCAGGGCCATGTAGGTGGCTAGAGATGCACCCAAACTTCTACCCAACTTTTTAGCTACATGTGCTGAGGATATGATGCACATGAGAAAAGTGTGAGAGAGCGAAACAAATCAAATAAATCAAATGCAGCTTTCCTACTGAAATCCCCTTTTCAGAGCGCCATGAACCCCATATGGAGTATAAGAACAGGGAGAGTTTCCCTGTGTAAGGCTACTAAACACAAAGTTGACACTTCAGTGTCTTGGGAGTGCTACATTGGTTTGCTCTGTGCTACACAACCAACTGCCTCACACTTCTAGGGATAAGAAATGCTCTGTAGGCATAAGAAAATTGTTCTGGCTCCCTCATGTGGCAGTGTGGCCTAAAAGCATCTGAAATTATTTTGTAAAAGAGCAAGTGTGTATGTTTTAAAAAGCTGCATGGGCTACTTCCTTTACAGTTGGAACTTGTAAGTTGTATTTAGTGATTTCTTCTTCACATTACACCAGTTGGTTTGTTAATATATTCAACTGAGTACCCAGATCAGACTCAGTGGATGGGCACCTTGGGGTGGCATAAGTCAGGATTCCACTGAGAAGTTCCATACACACCAGTGCAGAAGTCACTGATGTAGTTGAAGTATTGCCTTTGGTGAGACCAAAAATAGCGGACAGACAAAAACCAAAGGCAGGGCTCTGCTAGTGCCTTAAAAAAGCAGTGACTTCAGGTGGACAATATCTATCTGCTCTACAGCAACTGGGCTCAGCAGAAGCAGCACAACAAAGCCTGGCCCAGTGCAGTGCCCTGGTTTCCTCTCTGTCACACAGGGCACAAACCCAGACACATTTATTCCACATGAACACAACAGTGACCTGTCACCCCACAGTGTCCATGCACTCACACAATGGTCTTGTACCTTAAAAGCTACTTCAAAGAAACTTTTCCATTCCATCAGTGCTACAGGGGATGGTTAAAACTAGCCGCATGTAAAAATCAAGACACAGAACATAATAAATAAATAAAGGACTACTAATGATGTCATCATCTCCACAGTCTCCAGCTGAAAATCTGTGATCACTTCAAACTTTGCTGTCTTTTCTGACTAGGGTAGTGGTTAGCTCCTGGAAAAATTTGGCAAGGCCAAGGCAACCTCAGAAAGCTGCTCCTCAAAAAAGAAAGGAAAAAATGTTTTTCTTCAAAGAATGAATCAGCATTAAAGCAATAAATTAGCCATAAGTCAGCTCAAAAGAGGAAAGGGAATTTAACTGATATCCCTGAACTACTCAGAGGTTTCCAGGTAATAACCCAGGTATCGAAGAGGCCATTACATAAGGGAAAGTTTGACAAAAGTTTTTCATAAGTACAGAATTTTTCAAATCATTAAATAAATAATACTACTAAAAATATTCTAAAGACATTCCAACTTTTCTACTCAAATTCAGTATTACCATTAAAGGTCAATAAGAATCTTCTAAATTCCCCAAAGCAAAGCACCACTGCCCAATTAAACATCAATTTTTAAAAACTGAAACGGACCTAACAAGCTGGGATCTGCTCGAACCATTTTCTGTTTCTTCTTTTTCTTCCCGCTCTGCACAGCCTCAAAGTTGGACTGCTGGTTGTTGCTCTGATTGGTCTGAAAGACTGAATGTAGCGAACTGTGGTTCATCCCCCACACTGAATCCTAGAGAACAAATTAAGGACAAGATTACAGAGCACAGTGAAGTCTGGCTTATTTATACACAAAATCTTCAGAGAGCCCAAAACTCTTCCTATATCCACATGACGCATCCACCTCATCTTCCCACAGCATTTCCCAGATCCCCATGCAAAAACACTCTTTGACCTACAGTTGGCCTGAACTGTTGAGTTACAAAGGAATCTTGATCCTGTGGTAAAAACTGGAAAGCTGTTTTATTGTCTGCATTGGCCAGGATGCTGATGAATCCAGCAGGGGTGCTGAGCCCCCAGCCTCACAGTCCCCAGGAAGAGCAGAGGCACCTTTACCTGCTGTTGCTGCTGTTGCCGCTGCTGACTGGCTTTCTGTTTGGCACGGCGCTCGAGGAACTGCTTGGCAAACTCCTTGGCCTCAGGAGTATCTCCAAGGTAGGCTCGGATGTAGTCATGGACCTCATAGGGAGACTCCACTTCCTTCAGGAAAGAAACAAATGTGGGAACTGCAAGAAGAAGGCAGACCATGAGCGAGTGCATGTTGACAGCAAACACACACATACAGTTAACATCAATGTCAGATTTCTGTGTCAAATATTTGCTGGTCTAGTTCTCTGCAATAAAGCCCCATCATGCAATGCAGAATGAAACTAGATCCTCATCTATCTGCCTAATAATGCTTCCATGATTACCAGAAATCCTCAGGAGGGCTCTGGCTGACAGACTCCAGAACTTTTTCAAATCCCACTGATTTGCTTTAGTTCG